AATTTCACATGAATTGCTTTTGTTTTGAAAAAGTTATACACGTTTATATTATATAAATAATATTCCAAAATTTTTTGTACCATACTGTATATAAAAGTCTTGTACTAATATGTTTTCAATTCTAATAATTTAATAAATATAATAAATACTTGTTTAATTACAGAAAAAATAAAATAAAATAAATAGATTAATAAATTTGTAATAAAAAAATCACATAAAATTTAGGATTATATTTTTAGAATAATAAAATCATATCTTAAATTTTGATTTACCTTCAAAAATAATTACCTATATAATATAAAAAAAAACTCAAAAAGTTTTATTATTTATTATATATTATCAAAATATTTTTAATACTTAATACAATAAAAAAAATTATATTTAAGAAATATAAAAAAAAAAGAATGTAATCAAGTTCTTTAGATATTATTTGAAAGTGACAAAGAATCAACATTAAAGATTTTATTATTCGTGTAATTTTTATATTTAAGTTACGGAAATTGGATTAGTCGCATAGTTACCGAAGCTAAATAGAACTTTAAAAAGTTGATCACAATTTCGTAACATGTAGCGCAAATCAATGGAGATAGCCTCTGGTAAATCTGTTGGCTACGGCGAACAATAAGTGAATTGTCGAAGATCTGATGGCATTATTGCGTCTGAGAGATAGGTTTGATCAGGAATTTTGTGGGGTATGTACAGCATTGCACATAATTATGTCTTTTTTAAAAATAATTTGAACAAATGTTCAGTTTTTGTTTTTATTTGTTTTACTTCGAATTTTGGTTAAATTGGCAAATCTTTTTTGGCACAACAATTATTTCTTTAATTCTGAAAAAAGATTACGCCGTTATGTGCTTCGAAATTTATCTGTACGTTTAATCACCGGGCATTAAACATGTAATAGGTTACGCATCATTGTTTAAGTTTACCTGCCTTTGAATTCCGAGGTTTGGACACCAAGAAAAACGCAAAAAGCAAAGCCAAACAAGTTGAACTTTTTTTCCATAAGTCTAAGAATAGCAAATCGTATGTGAAATATAATTTCGTTAATTTCACGCCTTCCATCGCGCCACATCTAGTTTTTTTTTGGCCAATGAAAATCAATAGCCACACTCTACGTAATCTGGAGATGTAAGTATGTACGTAACGTACATAACTGACATGTGAACTTCAATTATTTCAATTGCATGATTAAATAGGAGCAACGGAATTCTTACCAAATAAAAAAAAACCGCATTATAAGTTTTTCAATACTGTAATAATCACTCCATTATCTCGTGCTTCTTTAAAAACTGCTGCTTTAAGTAGTGGTGGAATAATAAAGAAAGTTTTTTAGACTCACCGTTATTGTTACTTCTATATTTAAAAACCGAAGTTGTACGTACCTTTGTATATCTTTCGGTGTTCCAATAAGCTGAGCTTCTCTGTTTTGCATCTTTCAAACTGAACTTCAGCTGGTATGTATTTTTATTTGTCTTCCCCTTGTCGGGTTTATGTCTTTTAGAGCATGGAATATACACAGGTTAACGCTGCCTCACATCTTTCGCTAACGCAAACTTCTTCAAATGCAGTATCAAAACCAACTAGAAGAATATCTAGACAGCGATAATTCCATTTAACAATACTAACGTGAGACTCGCGTTTTAACTTATTACAAAAAAAAACACACTGCTCAAAACCAAGTAAAATGCCTCCAACTGCGTACTCAAATTTTCATGCATACACTACAACAGCTTCAGCGTACGTAGCTGCCACAATGAACACACAAAACAATAATAATTCTTCAAATAAAACACCGAGCAACCGAAGGGTCATCGATAGCGAGCTTAAACATAAAATCGTTGATGATATTTGTATCGAAACGAACCTGTACACTATACTTGGTGTCGATCGATCTTGTACATCCGAAGAACTAAGAAAGGCTTATATTAGTGTATGCATTCCTTTTTTTTTTTTCCTTCTCAATTGCCATCTTTCTCAAGTCTTCTTGATTCACATTAGAGGTCTAGAATTTGTCACCCGGACAAATTTCCTGAATACCCAAAGGCAACTGAAGCATTTCAAAGTTCGTGTTATCTTTTGTTCTATTTTATATTTATGCCATGATGAGAGAAAAGCAATTTATTATTTACGCATATATTAGAACTGGCATATGCCTACGAAACACTTAACAAACCATCCTCACGACGTGCATACGATGTATCGGGGACAAGTGACCTTGGTAGTGTAAATGGTACAGGTGATGAAACATTACATGGTGTTTTATATCAGGTAATTAAAAGCTTTCTCTGACCTCAGATCATTTTCATTTTGTCTTGTTTGACTCGATATATACGTTTATTTAGTTGTTTTTGGAATTTATGGATGGCGACTTTGAAATGATCCGTGCGTTAGTCAGTAAGTATAGTTATCAAATGTGTCAATTGCCTTTTTATTGTAATTATTTTAATTGTTATGTTTTACTTTAAGATGCACTGAATGAAGGTAATCCCGGACTCAACCTTGGTGACGATGCTATTGAAACTCTAGAGACTGCTTTTCGACGGATGAGAGATTTGCTTTTGGGTGAGCCCTCCATTCCAGTTTGTTAGCTAAAATATCATGGTGATACTCAAATTAATCATTCCTTTATAATAGCTGGTAAAAAATATGTCAAAATTGTTCAATTCGAGTTGATTCGGCTTTACGAGATTCAACAGCAGCTCCGAGCTCTTTCCTATTTTGATATACTTGGTCGTTTAAGACTTACCATGCAATTGGCTCGACTCACACTGACCATACCAATAATGATTGACAAATCAATGAAAGCAGAGTTTGAACAATCAGGAGGCAAAGGCTTAAATAAGGGATTATTAGGTGACGGTATGGCCAAAGTAATCTCAGGTCTGGCAACTGTATTGGAACGAGGTGAACAATTTGTGTGAAGGATAAAGCTAAGTTTGAAACGAACTCTAAAAAAGAATGTTAGATACATTTATGTGGGAAAAACGAGATACGTTTCGCCGAGAGAGATGACTTATCGGTAGACTCTTTTGTTGTAGTATACTGATTCTTACGCTATCTATTAATCTAAGATTTTACGCATTACAATATTGCGTAGATAGGTAAAAAAGCACCTAGTAGGAAAAAGAATTTACTGCGAACATATTTTTTGTTTAATATTTTAAAGGGTACAAACATCAAGACCTGGAGTTTTTGCTACTACCTTCATCATATCTATTTTGAACTATAATTTCCATTTATTTATAGATGCGTGTATGATTATATTTTTCTTTAATAACTAAATATGACAAATATCAATAAAAAATTTTTTTTAAATTAAATTATTCAGTCATACTGTTATGACAATAATTTAGAAATCAAATTTTGCACTTTATATAAATATCAATACCAATATATTTTTATTAAGAAAAACAGGTCAACTATTCCATTGTTGATGCATGCCCGAAATTGAGGTTTTGGGTTGGGTATTGGGAGTGAATTTATTTATTAAATATACTAATAAATTTTATTAAATATGATGTAATTATAAAATAAAGTTCTATTTTATTTTATCATGTAACAAGTAGTTATATTATTATAAATATTTGTAAATTGGTTAATATACACTAGTCCAAATTTGATTATTGGACTGCCAAATTACAGCCGATTAAATCCAAATTTATTAATAAAAGTTTATACCAAAGTTTTGTTGTTTGATCTAATTTATGCCATTCAGCACTTAAAAAAAACCTAATTATTCAGCAAAAAAAAATATAACATTTGGCAAAAAAATATTTCTAGTTAAAAAATATTTGGCAATAAAGTTACAACATTCTGTAATAAAAATTATAACATTCGACAAAATTATTTAGCATTATATACTTCAGTAAATCAAATTGTATATTTTCAATAAAAAAATTGCATTTATAATAATATTTGGCAAAATTTAATTAATACTTAATAAA